GAACGTAGAGAAGGGAGTGTCCCTGCTCTGCTGAGCAGCCCCAATAGCCTGGTCTGTACTAAGTCCTGTGCACATGAGTTTTGGGGGATGAGCTGGGGACCTTCAGCCTGCATATCTGCCCCAGACCTTCAGCACCAAGGACAACCCAGGTCTCGTAGGCTCTGTATGGCCTTTGCTGCTTGGGGTGTCTGGGAAGCTCTTGCTAAGGAAGAAGCAGGTGGAGAAGTGTCAGCAAGAGGCAGTGAATGTGTGTAGAACTAGGGTGCTGGGCTGGAGTGGAGGGCACTGAGGGGTCAGCACATTTGCTTAGGGGTGCCCTGTGCAAGCAGACCTGAGCTCAGAGGGTCCCATCCATGAGCAGCCGCTCACCAGCACCAAGGGATGTGGGGCCACTGGGATGAAAGTGTGTCATTCCCCAGGGCCAGCTCTGAAGTCCCAGCAGTACCCTGCAGTCCTTCCTTGGAGGAAGATCCAACTGGCCCTACAGCAATACGTTACCTGTTGCACACCAGTTCCCCTGCCAATTGAGCGCTCTGTTACTCTGTTTATGAAGGATAGATTCTTTTGGAAAGAAGCAGGGTAGAGCTTTCAGCAAGCGTTTAAGGAATTCAAGCACCCGTGCATGAGCAAACCACCTCCTAGTTCCCTTCCAAAACGTACCTTCATATCCTAGGAAACTTTTCTGGAGGAAAGGGAGAGTCCCTCTCATTTCATTTCCTCTGAAACAGAACTCAAAGACACATGTTCAGCATCATGTCGTGGAACACCAATAGCCTAAATGTTCTAACTCATCACTGGCAGAGCACCTCCTGCAAATTTTTTTTGGGGGGGACCAGGACAGAGAAAGAAAAACTAATGACAGAACTCGACTTTTAAACCAAACAAATCAAAGTGTGTGGTTTGTGTGAGGCTGTGGAGGCAGGTGTGTTTCTGTGGCCACCCGAATGGAAAAAGGCTGTTTAACTGCATCCGAGATCTCAGTGACAAGGAGAATGCAATCTCACTGCAAAGGGTGTGGGAGAAGTACCCAGGTCTGTTACAGGAGGTATTTAGAGCTTGTTCTCTTTGTCCTGCCAACAGTTCAAGAGACTGAAGGTATCACATCAGCCATCTCTACAACTTTCCTGGAAGAGCAAGTCAATAAGGAGGAGAAAACAATTTGATACAGTAAAGGGAATAGTAGATGAACATGCCTGTGTTAACAACGGAAAACGTAGCAGCAGTGTTAAAAACAGTGATTAAAACCGAGAAATATACCTTTGTATTTGGTAACAACAATAACACAAATAAAAATACTGAGTAATACAGCATGGAAGCACAGAGATTTGTGAACAGGATGAATTAATGCTATTTCCTTTTAGTGTCTTGGAGCAGGATTTGAGGATTCAGAAACTCCTCCACAATTCTAGGTAAGCATTAATCACAATCATTAAAGTAAGGCAAAAAAATCAAAAGCCAGCTTTAGTTAACCATAGCTAGATGTTCCCCACCTTCAAAATCAATTAAAGGCATAGATAAATAAATCAAACGTTCCAAGAATAGCCAACTCAATCTAATTCACAGGATCAAGGAAGCTAAGAAAAAAGTGGTGCATATAATCAGGAAAAACCTCCCAAGACCCTTATAAAAATGGTACTCAAGAAATATTAAAAATCAAATTCCTGAGTAAATAAGCAACTAGAATGCAGGAAGGCAAACAGATTCCCTTAAACCACCATCAGCTAAACCAGAATCAGTTCTGAACCGTTCATAAACATGTACTGATTTTTATTTGGCATAAAATAGGCCTTGAGAATGTCCAGAAAGAGTTAAAAAGTATAGAATGAAACTAAACTGAAACTTAATGACTGGCAGAAAAATAGTTCACCCTACCTCTCTTGATGTTTCTTAAAAGACAAACCTTTAAGTGAGAACAGCTCTAACAACTCAAAAGGAACAATATTCCTTTTTGACAAGTCTGAGTGATATTTTAGTGAGAGATCAATATTACCCTATCTGACAGAAAAACCCCAATGCTGATAATGTTATTTTTAGTGTATAGCAGCCTCACTGCAGCAATGCTGGGGAGTTCAGAAGTTGAGCATTGTAGGTGAAGAGGAAAGTAAAATGCAGCTCTTTAAAGGACAGGAAAGAGAAGACACCACCTGGCACTGAGAAAAACCAAATGTTTTTGTAGAACTGGCTACCACGGTGTGTACTACGTACCACAGTGATTGAAAAAGGCTGAACCACCGCGCAAAAACTGTCTCACTCACTGACTTCTCTTGAAGGTGGAAGCATGGTGCCCTATGTAGTCTCTTCTTCATCAAAGAACATTTGTGTATGCACATGCACATGTTTGAATCTCAGAATGACTCAGCAGAAAGACCAATTTCCTCAACATTCGTACCAGATCTTGCAAGCGTGTCATTTTAGACATCTGGAGGGAGGCTGTCCTAAGTGGCTCCTTTTGGGTTGCAACAACAGATCTAGCTGTCAGAGGGGGCCTCTGTTCCTTGCAGCCTTTGGTTACTAACACTCCCCACGTTTTCTGGTGCTCCTGTGTGGCTCATGTTCCGTGGGCTCAGACACCTCGTTTGACAGAGCTCCCAGCTCCTTATTTACTATGGCAGCACTGAAGCTACTCTGAAGTTGCAAATCTTCAGGTGAAGCAAGAGCCTTCCTCTTGGTGCCAGAGTTCAACAATTCCCGGTCTTTGTTACCATGGAAACCTCCATTTCTCATCCTAATGGGCACAGGCTCAAACTGCCTCTTCTTTGTTAGAAAAGGGAAGACTGGGCTCTTGAAGCTGCAATCTCAGAGACGGAGTCCATTTCTTGTCATCAAGGTTCACATAGTTCTAATAGTGCAGAAATTGCTCATCATGAAGGATTTGGTCAATCTGCAACAACCCCTTTACTCTTTAATAGCCACTTCCACATGTACAGTGACTTTACCTAACAAAGAACAATCATTTTGCCTACTTTCTTATCTTACTTAAAACAGCACAAAGACTTTCTAAGGCACCAAATCACCGCATACTCCAACTCAAAGAGACCAAATGAAGCCCATTCTTCATGCTCCTGAGGACTGAAACCAAATTCAAGGTGAAAAAGAAGCTTCCTGCAGCCCAGAAGCATTTTCAGAGATGCTTTGAGATATCACTAAAAGTACTGATTTTTTAACCCTGCTTTCTGACCAGCTTAACTCCATGAGACTTTTCAGATGCCTCTTGTAATCCCCATGTTTTCACTTATAATTCAACCTTTTGGGTGTTATTTTCAATCCTTCTTTGAAAGCTACCACATGTTTCTTCATGTGGGTCAGAAACCACCCGAGAAGTCATATGACTGCCTGTATAATCTGCGCAGTGAAAAAGAAGGAAGAGGCAGTTTTTGTTATGAAGTGTATCACCGTGTCTGGGACCTGGAGTACCACGGTGGTATAAACAGCACAGGGCTCTGTACAAATACCCGGAAAAGGAAAAAAGGCAATATATTTAGGAGAAGAAAGGACTTGAGTGACTGAAATCATTAAGGAGACAAATATAACATTATTTTCATATTTCAATTTAACCTGGAAATGCAGAGCTCATGGGCTTTTGAAAATACAGAAGAAAGGGAGAACGTGGAAACATTTTACTCAGGCAAGCTTTTTGAAATCTCTAACTATTCAATGATTGTTTTTCCCTTTCCATTTCTGGAAGAAAATGTGGCTCTGGATACCCTCTTGGGGTTGCACACATGGATGATTAGGACAAATATCTGGCTTTTTGTCTTCTGTTTTTACAACACTTTCAAATACCATGAGGAAAGAGGTGGTTATTGAAACAAGTATTACCAGTGTGGGCACACATAAGCTGATATTTGGAAGAGGGACCACTCTCACAGTTGAACCAAGTAAGTAACACGATTTTATTTCTAAACTCTATGTTAAAATTAAGGTGGGGAAAGAATCTGATGGTTTGGGTTCACTGTAAGAATTTTCTGATACAATAATCTCTAAAGTGCAGTCGCTCTGGCCAGGGCTTCAAGCTGAATCCTCAGCTTTTAACTGCTTAGGAAGACTTCACAGGAACAACTGGGCTTCTTCTGTATGTCACTGTTACTCCATGATCCTCAAATCCCAGTCTGGATAGCTCTCTGGCCCAGTGTGAAGTGTCCTGTTTTCCAGGGGATTTTCACTGCCCCATTTTGAGCAG